AGTACAAACCTCCGAGATGTGTGTCCCCAGCAGTCGATTTCACTTCAAATATACCATCTTCAATTGTAAGGATGGAAACATCAAAAGTCCCACCTCCCAAATCAAAAATAAGAACATTCCTTTCACCAGTGCCCTGAAATTTAAACCATAATGTTACATTCTAATCCGCATAAGGTTTACTTCGAAAATACTAAACCGTACCTTCTGGTCCAAACCATACGCAATAGCAGCTGCAGTTGGCTCATTTATAATACGAAGCACATTAAGTCCTGCAATTGCTCCTGCATCCTTCGTAGCCTGCCGCTGTGAATCGTTAAAATACGCCGGGACAGTAACTACTGCATTCTGCAAAAAGAAAATTTTCCACCTCACTGCAACACAAAAGCTGTTTTCCTACACCACCTCAAACAAGTACCCCACGATATAATCTGCAGTGTCACCTTAACCAAAACTCAAGTTCTTACCTTTACAGAAGAACCCAAGAAAGCTTCTGCAGTCTCTTTCATTTTACCCAAAACCATTGATGATATTTCTTCTGGTGTGAACGTCTTCGTCTCACCACGGTATTCAACTTGAACCTTCGGCTTTCCACCTTCAGCACTAATAACTTTGAAAGGCCAATGTTTCATATCTGATTGAACTGCAGGATCGTCGAATCGCCGGCCGATAAGACGCTTGCAATCTGAAGGATTTAAGTCAAAAGAGCCTATTAAAGATGAAAGACCTGCTTACAAATCATTGCCAGTGTAACTCAGAAACAGCTTACTACAGTTACTTGCATATCTTACAACTAAAGACAAGAACAAGAAAATAATAAAAGGTAAGAATAAAACTGGGATACAAAACAAATTAATTTAAGTTATTCTCACAAGTACTTCTGCTGTATGTGCAAAATCTCATTAAATCTACTACGGAAAACCTACCAAATACTGTGTTGTGAGGATTCATAGCAACTTGATTCTTTGCTGCATCTCCGATTAGTCTTTCTGTATCGGTGAAAGCAACATACGACGGGGTAGTCCTATTGCCTAAAATCAGAACTATCACCTCTGAGAATACAAAATTTAAAAATAGCTTCGTAAAATTGCCCACATAACCGTCCAACCCAATGCAACACGAAGCACACCAGTACATCACTCAGCAGTTTAAGCGAAAGAAATATAGAATGATCACTAAGAACCTCACCTTGATCGTTAGCAATTATTTCCACTTTGCCATGCATAAATACTCCAACACAAGAATACGTCGTACCCAAGTCAATACCAACAGCGTTCACCTTCGACATCGTCCAACCGAGTAAGAAACGAAAATTAACTCAAAATCAGAAAAAAACCACTATCACAGGCAAATGAATGGCCACGATTGCACAAACACCACAAAGAACACTGACGATGCACGCCAAAAACGCATTTTTATAAAGCCAAAAGAAAATTCGAGATGAACGCGCGTTTTCTAGAAAAATCTTTTCATGAAGAACCGCGAAAATGAGTGCGTTTAAAATTTCCCCCCCCTGACGGCGATCGCGTTTATATATACATAGTCTCTGTGCAGTGACGTCACTACCGAATGTTCTGGATTTTGCAGAAGTCCGCTTCGTTTAGTTCACTGTATTCTGTTGGATGCGTTGCGGTTTTCTGTTGCATTGCTTGCAGCTGCACCGCTTTGTAGGTTATTTTTGCTGTAAATGAGAACAGTTTGCTTGTTGCAGCGGTGATTATGTTAGAACACTCGTTTTTCTGGAGTGTTCATAGTTCAGTTGAACGCTTGAACTACGAACTCTTCCTTTTCAGTAACAAATTTTCAAGCGAATATGCATACAAATTGTTTTTCGCATCTTCCCTCCACATAATACTGCGATCGTGGAAAGATGGAGAATCCGACACCTCGGGTGATCCAGACTACAGTTTTCATGTTATTCGCTGCGGACGTGCAGCGACCGTACGAAATGAGGATTGTGCTGTCAGTCTCTGATCTGTGAGTGAGTTACGAACTATGTATGCCACCTGTTTTAGATGAAAATTGACAAATGGTCTGCGGTTCAAGGAGCTGCAGTTTTTTAATTTTAGCCTATAGAAGCCTGGATTGGTTGTAGTTCAGTTGACGTTTTGTGTACGGAAAGCCTGCCATACGACGCCTTGTTTTTCTTAGCAGTGTTGAGGGTATTCATTACATCGTGCACTTTTTATTGCTTTTCACTTTCAGTACATCACCACAACAATTTAGAAAGTAACGATTTTCTGGAATAGTTGTTAACTTTATCCCTAAGTCGTCATTTAAGCCCCCATTACGCTTCTCAAAATTGGCATCTTGATGAG